GGTGGTCCACTGGTGCTCACCAGCTGTAGGTGCAGTCAGATTATAACCTCTCCCTCGTGGTTCCGGTGCTCAGGTAGTGAGTCAGAGCACAGGCTCAGAGATTATCAGCCTGCGCTCTGACAACATTGAAAGTCAGAGCCACGAAGGAGCGGGTATGGCAAAGAGCTATTGATTAGCATAACATAAATATGTTATAAAACCAGGAAAAGGTGGGCATGGAAAGTGAACTGATTTGGTGGTGCAACGGGCCACTTGACTGGTTTTGCCCCCCCCACCTAAGGCTGCCAGCCCTCCTCCTGATTAAAAGTTATATTTTATTTACATTTCATTTATACCTAGAGTGCAAGCATAATGGATATATATGTATATATATATATATATATAAAGCAAAAAGGAAAGAGATGCACTCTCAGGTCTTTGTAAAAAAAACTTGATATTATTTAATAACAGGTAACATACATCTGATCGACGTTTTGTATATATATATATATCACACACACACACACACACACACACACATAGATACACACACTGCATCCACAACATACACATTCTGTTTCCACTCTACACACACTGCATCCTTGTGGGCTCCCTAGGGCCCAGACCCTAAACTGTGTTAAGGGCCCCAAAACTTCTGATGGCGGTGCTGCCATCTTCACACACTGCCCTCCACACAATCCTCCCCAGATACTGCTCTCCCAGCACACTGCCCACCTCCACTGTCACCCTCCCCACACACTGTCCACCCACTCTGTAATTCTCCTCACATACTGCCCCCACATTCCCCTTCCCACACACTGCACTCCCAACAAACTGCCCCCACACTGTCACCTTCACCACACACTGTCATCCTCCCACACACTATCACTCTCCCCTGGGGCAGAGGTGGAGTAGGCAGAGCATGAGGCAAAGAAAGAGCAGATGAGCCTGGGGGAGAGTAGAAGCAAGGGAGAATCAGAGGAGCCTGGGGGAGAGTAGATGCAGGGGAGAAGCAGAGGCGCTTGGGAGAGAGTAGAAGCAGGGGAGAATCATAAGAGGCTGGGGGAGAGTAGAAGTCTGAGGCAGAGGCGGGACAGGGAGAGCCTGGGGCAGAGGAGGGACAGAGAGAGGCTATAGAAGAGGAGGGGCAGAGAGAGAGCGTGGGGAAGAGCAGGTGGAGGGTAGCCTGAGGCAGAAAAGGAGCAGAGTAAGCTGGGGCAGAGGATGACGAGCAGGGATAGGAAGCCTGGTGCAGAGGAAGGAGGAGCAGGGAGAGCCTGGGCCGGAGGAAGGGGCAGGGGAGGCTGGGGCAGAGGAGGTACAGGGGAGGCTGGGGCAGAGGAAGGAGCAGCAGGGGGATCCTGGGGCAGAGAAGGGATGAGCAGGGGAGCCTTGGGCAGAGGATGAGCAGGGAGAGCTTGGGGCAGAGGAGTGAGAAGAAGGGAGAGGCTGGGGCAAAGGAGGAGCATTAAGAGCCTTTGGCAGAGGAGGAGCATGAAGAGCCTTGGGCAGAGGAGGAGCAGGAAGAGCCCTGGGCAGAGGAGGAGCAGGAAGAGCCCTGGGCAGATGAAGGAGCAGGGATAGCCTTGGGCAGATGATGGAGGAATTGGGAGAGCCTTGGGGCAGAGGAAGGAGCAAGTAGAGCCTGGGGCAAAGGATGAACAGGGAGAGCTTTGGGCAGAGGAAGAAAGAGCAGTGAGAGCCCGGAGCAGAGGAGGAGCAAGGAGAGCCTGGGGTAGAGAAAATGGGGAGATAGGGCAAAGAAAAATGTACACATTTGACATAACAGCAACTATATTAATTACAATAAATGTTCAAATATGAGGGGTACAATTTAAGGAAATGGACTGCCAAGGGGTACTCAAGTGAAAAAAGGTTGAAAACCACTGATATAGACCATGGAGAGTGAGCAATGTATCTATGTTTCTACAGGTGAAAGACAAATGCTTATTGCAGGGAGCGGAGAGCGGAGCAGAGGAGTCTGAGGGGACTGTATGAAATTTGTCACTGCACAATACCAATCCACCATCTCTGACTTTGTCTATCTTATGTAGTATGGATTGGAGATAGTTGTAGGAGTCTGAGTTAGGGAAGTATGGTTAGTATATTTATTGAACAAACCATCCAGAATTAAATATCTCCCTTGTGGGTCTATTTGTTTACATTGAAGTGTGAAAGCAACATCTCAGCTAATGAAGATAGAAACATCCTTGAACTTGGAGACAGATAAAGCGTGGAACTGTATAGGGTAAAACTTTGCAAACATTGTTGGAATGCAGGGTTTATCCAAGTGGGTCTCCTGGATACAGGTTAAAGTAAATTTGGTGTTTTCTCATATGTTTAAGCAAAAGTTTCAGTTTACCTGGGGAGTAGGTCATCAGTTTCATTTGTATAGCAACAGGGGGATTGGCTTTGGTGAAAAAGTAATTATGCCATGTGTTCAGATTGGGATCTACTTATATGTATTATCCATCTAAAAAATGCAAGGTTCTTATATTTATACGGCTGTATTGAATTTAATTAAAGAATGTGATTGACAAGAAGGATACCTCTTGGTAACAAAGTGATGTCACTGCCTTGTATAGTAATATCCCTCATCACAAAGGTTGTAAGGCGGTAAGGTGGTTCTTAGATAACCATACGGACTTCTTACCTGAACAGGTAAGATAGAATTTTTAATAGAAGGGAGAGAACTTATCGTACATAATAATTATTTTTCGTATAATGATAACTTTTTTATTCAAGTCAATGGTACGGCCGTGGGCACCAAGTTTGCACCCAGCTATGCAAATTTATTTATGGCATTTTGGGAAGAGACTTTTATTTATGGCCAGCATGGCCGTTACATTGACGATATATATTTTTATATGGAAGGGCACCGAAGAAACCCTAGAGGCCTTCCTTGTATTTTTAATACATGGGGGATAGAGCTAAATACCATATGGAGTAAAACGGAAGTAATTTTTTTAGATTTGAAATTTTTTATAGAGAATGGTGTCTTGAAAACCAAAAATTATTTTAAACCAGTTGATGCCAATAGCTTTATCGATAAGAGTAGTTGCCACTATGCTCCGTGGTTGGAGAATGCCCCTAAAGGGCAGTTTCTCAGGATACGAAGAAATTGCACAGATGAACATATGTATGAAGAACAATCTCAGAGAATCAAACAAGACTTCCTAAAAAAAAAAAGGTTATGATGAAGATAAATTAGAAGTGGCAAGAACAGAAATAAAAAGGAGAAATAGGGAAGATTTACTGAAATACCGACCAAAAGAAAAGAATAAACAACTGGAAGGCATCCCATTCATATGCAACTACAGTAATAATAGGAAAGTAAGGAATATAGTAAAGAAATACTGGCATATTTTATTGAAAGATCCAGTTTTAAATGAAGTTTTAACAGAGAAACCACAATTATACATAGAGGAGTCAAAAATACAAAGAGAAAAATCCCCAGTACGCTTAGATAACAACATTGTTTTTTATGGTTATGGCCAATGCGCTGCATGTAAGAGAACAGGCAATAATAGACATATAATCAAAGTTTTTAATTCAAACAATAATACCTACAAAGTTAAAGATTTTATAACGTGCTTCACGGAAAATGTGATTTATTTATTAGAATGTCCATGCGGCCTGAAATATGTTGGCAGAACCACTAGAGCTCTACATATACGTATAGAAGAGCACTCAAGAAATATTTAAAAAAGTTATGGAAACCATAGTGTTTCAGCACATTTTAATATCCACCATAACCACAACCCAAAGGGTATGAAATGAATAGGCATAAAAAAAATTAAGAAAAACTGGAGAGGGGACTTTAATAAAACCATAGGTAAAGTAGAAATGAAGTGGATCTACAATCTGAATATTATGACTCCATATGGTCTAAACAATGACTTTGAAATATGCCATTTTTTAAAGTAAATTACCCCTGGAATTTGACTCTGATACAGATAGGGATTTTATTACGTATTTTGGACTCAATGTGTTTATTGAGAATAGAATAATCAATGGTATTTTAGATTTTATAACTTAAGATTGAGTTATAAATGTAAATTAATAATTTGTATATATGTGGAGTAAATATAAGAACCTTGCATTTTTTAGATGGATAATACATATAACTGTTTTAATGAGGTTTCAAATTGAGCTTTGGTAAAGAGTTAATTGAGATAGCATTAAATTAAGTGAAAATAAGTTTGGTCTATTAATATATTTTATATATGCACATATGTTCCGGTTGTAATACATGGTGAGGAAAGAATGATGCCTCACAGAGGAAGGGAATGGACTTTGAAACGCATGATGAACCACAAAGAGACATGCCCCCACATACGAAACCGGAAATTACGTCATACGGGAGGAAATGAATTATGAGACTGAGGCATGGAACACAGTGCTGATTAGAATGAGCAACAGCTGATGAAAAGGTGGCTATTTAAACTGCAGGATCTGAAGGAGTCTATTACACAAGACTGAGGAAGCCAAGGGATCGGTGAAACGCGTATCTGACTATATATACATTGGTATTTGGCATTATTGTTTTTTATAGTATATTTTAATAAAGTATATCTTTTTAACATTATTCTGTGATTCCTGCCGTTGCAAAGAAGGGAGTGTAGTCCGTAACTACACAGAGTTCATGTCAGGTTAGACCTGCCGGGTTTCGCCGAATTAAGCCACTTCCGGGTTGACGGCGCTTTGCCCCGCCCCTTCTCTGACGCGGTCTTCCCACGCTACATAGGAAGACCGCGCCAGATTCAAAGCGCTGGATTATTGAACAAGTTTGCTGTGTATCTCTGACCGGCTACCCGATTACATTATAAGCTTTTCCGTGTACCGAACCTGCTCTGTGAACGACTACCCGCCTTCTCCACTCCTCGACCCGGACTGTTTAATGGACTTCTACTCTCTCTCCTAAAAGACTGCTTAAATTGATCTCCCCAGTTCTCTGGAACTACTACTATTAAGCTAAGTACTTCTCAGTTGCAATTATAAGCTAACCATTGTTAAACACTCTTAAAACTATTTCCTCTGCAATTAATACTAAATCTGCATACAAACTCTGGAAGCTATTTCTGCTGCATTTAATTCAATACTAAATCTGCATAGAAACCTTGGAAGCTATTTCTGCTGCATTTAATTCAACACTAAATCTGCATACAACCTTTGGAAGCTATTTCTGCTGCATTTAATTCAACACTAAATCTGCATACAAACTTTGGAAGCTATTTCTGCTGCATTTAATTCAACTCTAAATTCTGCATGCAAACTCTGCACTATCCTTAATTAGAATTGTAGACTTAATACAAAACTTCAGTGGCTTATTTTCTAACTAATAACCTGTCATAAGAGTTTAAAGCTACAGTAACCAAAGTTTGTAATTCAATAAAATTATAATCGAAGTAATTAAAGTTCTGCAGTTGTGTTCCACTCGTTTAGCATTACAGTTCAGTTACTGAGCCAGGTCACAGGCTCTCTGTTTGTGAATATACTATATTAGTAATTCTTGCATATAATAAACAGAATTATACTATATTGCTTATTTCCTACTTTTTTGAGAAAAACTCCTCCTTTGGAAATCTAAAAATGGGTCGCAAGAGTATTCTGAGGATGGACAGCAGCTAAAATAGCCTGCCCTTCGGTGGGTCCCCGCTCAGAACTCAAGCTGGTTTTTGCTCATCTTGTGCCATTACAGAGAGAACATATGGGCAGTCCAGATCTGAAATGCCAGCAAGTTCTCTCTGCACGAGAGATACAGCAACCCCAGACAATCGTTTCAGCCTTGTTAGGCATCGTCAGTGAGGCATAGCTGATATCTCTCTTAGGTAAATGCTTCAGAACTCATTGGACGGCGCTTCACAATGCAGATGGACAATGACCCGAAGCATACTGCAAAAGCAACCAAAGAGTTTTGTTTTTTTGTCCTTTAAAATCTTCATTTATTCAATTACACAACTCAAAACCATATCATCTTACTGTTGATCTGGCTTATGGAGTAAACTCAAGCTTAAAGGAAACATATCTAAACTTTATGAACAGAAGCTTGAGATTCGACCATCAATAACAAGAAAAACATAAATATACAGTATGATGTTTAACCCCTTAAGACCGGAGGGCGTACAATTACGCCCTATTTTAGGCGGCTCTAAACGCCGTGGGGGGATTGTACGCCCTCCGGTCTTTCTTTACTTACCCGGTCGCCGGCGGTCCCACTCCGGCGATCGCGGTGGGGGGGACTCCCAGGGAGCCCCCCGCGGCACGTCCGACCCCCTGTAAGCCCCCCCGGCCATATGAGAGTGAGGGCAGAGGGTGAATAGACTTTCTGTTCAATTTCGCTAACCCTTCACAGGCCCAGTAAAATCAACCTTTCCCAACTTAATAAACATTAATTAACTGCGAGTAATAAGCATACGATACCGAACATGAATAAGGTTGATGATCTATGAATAAGTCCATTCTTTTGTCAGCCTTGGAACTTTGGGACGGTCCTGTCTCTCAAGTCCTGGGGAATAAAGTGTGGGAACTCACCCAAGATCCAACTCTCCCCTCCCCCCAAAATAATATACACTCGTACAGTTGCAAGAAAAAGTATGTGAACCCTTTGGAATGATATGGATTTCTGCACAAAATGGTCATAAAATGTGATCTGAACATCTAAGTCACAACAATAGACAATCACAGTCTGCTTAAACTAATAACACACAAAGAATGAAATGTTGCCATGTTTTTATTGAACACACCATTTAAACATTCACAGTGCAGGTGAAAGAGGATGTGAACCCCTAGACTAATTACATCTCCAAGAGCTAATTGGAGTGAGATGTCAGCCAACTGGAGTCCAATCAATGAGATAAAATTAGAGATGTTGGTTACAGCTGCCCTGCCCTATAAAAAACACACACCAGTTCTGGGTTTGCTTTTCACAAGAAGCATTGCCTGATGTGAATGATGCCTCACACAAAAGAGCTCTCAGAAGACCTACGACTAAGAATTGTTGACTTGCATAAAGCTGGAAAGGGTTATAAAAGTATCTCCAAAAGCCTTGCTGTTCATCAGTCCACGGTAAGACAAATTGTCTTTAAATGGAGAAAGTTAAGCTGCTGCTACTCTCCATAGGAGTAGCCGTCCTATAAAGATGACTGCAAGAGCACAGCGCAGACTGCTCAATGAGGTGAAGAAGAATCCTAGAGTGTCAGCTAAAGACTTACAAAAGTCACTGGCAAATGCTAACATCCCTGTTAGCGAATCTACAATATGTAAAACACTAGACAAGAATGGATTTCAAGGGAGGATACCACAGAGGAAGCCACTGCTGTCCAAACAAAACATTGCTGCACGTTTACAGTTTGCACAAGAGCACATGGATGTTCCACAGCAGTACTGGCAAAATATTCTGTGGACAGATGAAACCAAAGTTGAGTTGTTTGGAAGAAACACACAAGACTATGTGTGGCGATAAAAAGGCACAGCACACCAACATCAAAACCACATCCCAACTGTGAAGTATGGTGGTTGGGGCATCATGGTTTGGGGCTGCTTTGCTGCGTCAGGGCCTGGACGGTTGCTATCATCGAAGGAAAAATGAATTCCCAAGTTATCAAGACATTTTGCAGGAGAACTTAAGGCCATCTGTCTACCAGCTGAAGCTCAACGGAAGATGGGTGTTGCAACAGGACAATGACCCAAAGCATAGAAGTAAATCAACAACAGAATGGCTTAAACATAAGAAAATACGCCTTCTGAAGTGGCCCAGTCAGAGTCCTGACCTCAACCTGATTGAGATGCTGTGGCATGACCTCAAGAAAGTGATTCACACCAGACATCCCAAGAATATTGCTGAACTGAAACAGTTCTGTAAAAAGGAATGGTCAAGAATTACTCCTGACCGTTGTGCACATCTGATCTGCAACTACAGGAAACATTTGGTTGAAGTTATTGCTGCCAAAGGAGGTTCAACCAGTTATTAAATCCAAGGGTTCACATACTTTTTCCACCTGCACTGTGAATGTTTACATGGTGTGTTCAATAAAAACATGGCAACATTTCATTCTTTGTGTGTTATTAGTTTAAGCAGACTGTGATTGTCTATTGTTGTGACTTAGATGATGATCAGATCACATTTTATGACCAATTTGTGCAGAAATCCATATCATTCCAAAGGGTTCACATACTTTTTCTTGCAACTGTATGCATATATAAACGTGTGTACACACACACAGACACACACTCACACACATTATTATTATTTTTTTAAAGTTAAAAATGTTTACCCAGCCTTCCTACCTGGAGAGCTGGCGTGGACCTGTGCCTGGAGTCCAGTGGGGCTTCAGTGCGGCGGGCACCTGTTTCCCTGTCAGACGTGGCGAGGGAGCTGTGTCCTCTCTGCTCTGCTCCATCTCGCCGCGTGGGCTGTCTACTGCTGCCGGGAGCCAGAATATGACGTCACATTCCGGCTCCCGGCATCAGCAAACAGCGCGCGAGGGAGCAGAGCAAAGCAGAGAGGACACAGCTCTCTCGCCGCATCTGACAGGGAGATAGCCGCCTGTCTGGGGGGACACGGGGGACATTTGGGGGTGGCACTTTTTGCCGCCCCCTGAGTGCCTGCAGGAGTAATGGGAACAGTGTTCCTGCTGTAAAAAAAGTTCAGGAACGCCGTTCCCACACATTACTGCAGGACTCGAGCCCTGCTGTCTCTGCATTTTTGGTATCGGGATACCCCAGTCCTGCAGTTTGCGGGTTCTATCTACTATTAACGTGATCTGATGGGTAACGCCTTGATGCTGAACAAGAAGCTTAGCCACATACACACACCTGTACTGGACATCTTGAGCCCGTAGCAAGGTTGTAACGTGAGCCAGGGATTTTTAGAATTAGAGCGTGGCCGCCGAAAGATCCACAAAGATTTTCAAATCCTTGTACGGATCTCTTAAGTCGCCATTTCAGCATGCCTTGGTGATGCGCTCTTTAATGTGGTAAAAATGGACACAAGTGATTACATCGTGGGCTGATGATGGTGGCAGGTGAGCAGGCTCTGTCAACCAGCAATTGGTCAGGGTGGATTTCTGGTGGGATGGTCTGGAACAGGTCAAGCGGGTAAGTGTGGTGGTCCATGATTTGTACAGACTCTGGTATGCCCCTTATCCTGAGATTGTTCCTGCGCGACCTGTCCTCCAAGTCTGCCAGCTTCATTGCCTGCAAGTGTAGAATTTTGTGGATCCTGTCTTCCACTGGGTTGTGGGCCATTGCACGCGCATCCATTTTTTATGCCCAATGTCTTGCAGCTCCTTACGCAGCTCCATGGCCAGTGGTTAAATCTGGCTTTTTTGATAAAAGATTGGATGGACGTGGAGAATTCCGTCATCACCAACATGGTTGTGGATGTGAGAGGCCCACCCTTCGAGATAGGAGAAAAGCGAGTCAGTGCCATCTTGTGTAGGGCCAAGGTCCTCTCTGGCCTTGAGCGTGGAGGCTTGGGCAAGGAAGAAGGAAGCCCGATTGGCTTTAGCCTTCAATCTCTGGAACATAGCCAGGTTGGGGGCAACTTATTTTTTCAGGTTGAAATGCTTTTATTTACGGCTTAGTTTCCTCTATTCAGACTTTGTCAGTTTGGCAGGAGGCATTACATTACTTAAAGGACCACTATAGTGCCCTGAGGGTGCCCCCACCCTCAGGGTCCCACTCCCGTGGCGCTGAAGGGGAGGAAGGGGTTAATCCCTTACCTTTTCTCCAGCGCCAGGCTCCATCGGCGTTGGGACTCTCCTCCTTCTTCTGACGTCACTGGCTGAATGCGCATGCGCAGCAAGAGCCGCGCGCGCATTCAGCCAGTCTTATAGGAAAGCATTATCAATGCTTTCCTATGGACGCTGGCGTCCTCTCACTGTGAAAATCACAGTGAGAAGCGCGGAAGCGCCTCTAGCGGCTGTCAATGACTCAGCCACTAAAGGCTGGATTAACCCATAGGTAAACATAGCAGTTTCTCTGAAACTGCTATGTTTACAGCAAAAAGGGTTAATCCTAGATGGACCTGGTACCCAGACTACTTCATTAAGCTGAAGTGGTCTGGGTGCCTATAGGGGTCCTTTAAAATTGGGTCTTTGGTGAATACACATTGATGATATTTGAATGATGACATTTTGATAAGTTGAAGCCAGGAATTCGCTTGTAAGATATTCCAGTGCCTCTTAAAGATGATATTTGAGCTTATTCTCAATAATTCTAATGGCATTTACTGAAAACAGTGCAATGTGAAATCCAAAGAATATTTCCCTAGTTGAAATCTCAATTGTTTGTGTCTCTCTTTGGGTACATAAGCAGATTCAAAATCTATGTTCAGTTGTTGAATCTCTTTGCATCTTTTTTTCTACTATCAGCTGAGAGGGGAGGAGCTGTATATTTTCAGTTATGCCATGGAAATAACTGTTACAATAATTACTGTAAGAAATTTTTATATAGAATTTAAGAATCCATTAACGCACTGTTTAATGCAAATATTGTTTGAAACTTGTTTATGTACAATTGCATAGTCATTCATTCATTTTACAGTAGACCTATGACAATATAAGTGAAAAATAATACACAATTAAAAAACTTTAAATAGTGGGGGGAAAACAATCATTTTATTAAAATATATAATTATCACAAGCATTAGCATGTGTTAAATTAGTTGTTTACTCAATCACTCTTTTGGAGCTAGAAACCTTGAGATAGAGAAGATGCTATATCTGTGAATGTTATCTGCTTGCATATCAGTCCGTTTCATAGATGAGAGAAACTTAATACACTGGTATGGGCAATCAACCACAGGGTTTGATTAAATTAATTATTGTGAAGTCCTTTCTTACTAGCAAAGTATGGGCATTAAAAGCTTACTCTAGGCACCATGACCATTTCACTTATTTGCAATCTGGAATCTGGAATCTGTATATGCAACATTTCAAATATATATATATATATATGTATATATATATATATATACACACACACACACACACACACACATATACACAAACACACACACTGCCAGAGGTGAAACTCCACCTTCAGACATGTCTTTGGTGATCTATTCTCCTGCCTGGAACAAGATTTCCAAGCTGGCTAATGTCAATACTGTGGGTTGCTGTTTGCAAATTGTGGAGAATGTTCTGAGCAAAACTAACTATGCCTGAACTAACTGCATATATGCACTTTTTAAGAAAACGGTGCATTTGAAACCCTTGGAGTTTAATCCTTAGTCTATGTGGGCTGATTTTGTCCACTCACCTGCCGTATATAGCTGAACACATCAAACTTGTTATCATTCAGGGAGCATATTTTGCCACTGACACTTCATGTGGGCTAGCCCTTGTGTTTTGCGGTTTCTACTCTGAAGATATGCCGGTGAACTGTGTTAAGCTTCTTACAAGAGACACAAAGCACCCAAACCACTACAATCTTAAAGGAACTGTATGGGCACCATAACAATGTAATTAAAAAAAAAGTTATGATACCCAGAGGTCCCTGGTGCTTTCTTACCAGAAGGGGTTAAACAGTTCATGAATGGTTTAACCCCAAAGGTTTCTCTTCAGTGTAGTATCTACCTGCCCCTCAGCAGCATTTGGTTTCTCCAATTCAGTTTGAGGAATCATGGAGTGCCACTAAACGGTCACCTGACACTAACAAAATAAGTAGCTCTCCATTCATAAAAGGGTACATATATTTGGGGACAGGAAGTGCCAGCAATGTAGAGCAACTTTCAAGGTTCAACCATTCATGAACAGTTTAACACCGTTGGGTAAGAAAGAGCCAGATGTAGTGATTTTGGTGCATAGACCCTATTCCTGCAGCCTGACAACTGTATACATTGCTGTTTCTAAATAAAGACAATGTTTACATTGGTCAGTCAGAATGCCTCTAGTGGCTATCAGCAACCCCTACAGACACTTGCTCATGAACACATTGAAGTTTTCGCATTAACCCATTAAGAAGGCAATTGTTCTGACCAAAACAATACCTAGAATTTGACTTATATGTTTGATCAATCACAATTAACTTCTCTAATATTACATGTACCGACACTTATTGTATCTCATTTTGTATCATAAAGAAAATCTAAAAACATGTGAGAAATTAAGAAATGTGGTTATTTTCCAAGTTTTGTATGTTATTTTAACTGTGAATGTCATAATAATAGCTTTTACTGTATTAAAACACATATTTATATGATGTGATGTCCCACAAGTACAACAATGCTCCCCATGTACATAGAAACATAGAATGTGATGGCAGATAAGAACCATTCGGCCCATCTAGTCTGCCCAATTTTCTAAATACTTTCATTAGTCCCTGGCCTTATCGTATAGTTAGGATAGCCTTATGCCTATCCCACGCATGCTTAAACTCCTTTACTGTGTTAACCTCTACCACTTCAGCTGGAAGGCTATTCCATGCATCCACTATCCTCTCAGTAAAGTAATACTTCCTGATATTATTTTTAAACCTTTGACTATGTCATCTTGTTGTGGTAGTTTTTCTTCTTTTAAATATGGTCTCCTCCTTTACTGTGTTGATTCCCTTTATGTATTTAAATGTTTCTATCATATCCCCCCAGTCTCGTCTTTCTGCCAAGCTATACATGTTAAGATCCTTTAACCTTTCCTGGTAAGTTTTATCCTGCAAACCAGGAACCAGTTTAGTAGCCCTTCTCTGTGCAGGTTTCATAAATGGTTAAAGAGCTTGCACTTTTCAGTTGATACCTTAGACACACCCTAATCCTCACGGCCCGCGCTATGTGCCTCCATGAGTCGGTGACCGGCCCACAGGCAGAGAGGGAGGCATGAGAGGACCTGGGAAGCTCTAGCCCTGCAACGCTCAAATCTCGCGAGAGTTAACTATAGCCCCGCAGGCTAGAGTTCACTCACCACTGGACCACCAGGCATGGCAGCAGCACGGTCCCCTCTCTTACAAAAGGTAAGAAGGGGGCTATTTCCTAAACGGTCCCCACACAATACACACAAACAGCACCCACACACATCCATCACCCTTACACACACAGCACCCTTACACATACACACACTTACAGCACCCTCATACTAACAGCACCCTCACACACACCAACCTTACACACACATAAACTAACAGCACCCTCACACACAGCACACTTACACTCACACAGCGACCTCATACACACACAACGCCCACACACAAACAGCAGTGTGTGTGTGTGTGTATATATATATATATATATATATATATACACGCGGTGTGTGTGTCTGTGCTTTAGGGTGCACGCCCTTATGCAATAGGCTGGGCATGCCTATGGTTAATACACAATGAAATTTGCCAGATTGGTTTGCTGAGCCTATGTTGCCTTTCAGATAGCAGCCCAAAAATGAGAATACCTCTATCATGGCATACCACTGAAAAAGTAGACAACCCAGGGTATTCAGTATGGTGTATGCCCATTTTTTTTTTAAGTAGCCACTTAAACACAAACCCTGGCAAAAGTTAGTGTTCATTTTAGTTTTTTTCCCCCTTTTTTGTTAAAAAAAAAAAAAAGACTATCCTTTCACTGATGAGATCATCTTCATGCATTTTACTGCTCTAAATCACACACACGCATACAGTCATGGGAAAAAGAAAGTACACCCTCTTTGAAGTCTATGGTTTATCATATCAGGACCTAACAATCACATGGCCGGGTTAGCTGGCTGCTGCATTGCCAGCAGGGGGACTGCCTGTAATGACAGCTAGTCCCCTTGCTGGCTGAATTCAAATAAAATAAAGTTAATCAGTGTAAAAAAAAAAATATATATACACACATATGCATACACAGACATACACTGTCTAGGTGTATTTTACTATTACTATATATATATAATTATATATATATATATATATATATTAATATCAAATTACACGTAGACTGATACTGATTAAATATATATAAAATTGTTATATATATATTTATATATAATAAAAAAAAATGTAAATACGTTAAAAACAATAAAAATAATAAAAAAATATATAGATGTTTGTTATTTCGTTCTAACTGTATTGTGATAGTAATATATATTTATATCAAAATACACGTAGAACGAAATAATATATATATCTATATACATAAATATATACGTATATATCACTATATATATACCTATATATAAATAAAAATATTTTAAAAAATTATATATAAATTATATATAATTTAAAAAAATAATATATATATATATATATATATACAGGGAGTGCAGAATTATTAGGCAAATGAGTATTTTGACCACATCATCCTCTTTATGCATGTTGTCTTACTCCAAGCTGTATAGGCTCAAAAGCCTACTACCAATTAAGCATATTAGGTGATGTGCATCTCTGTAATGAGAAGGGGTGTGGTCTAATGACATCAACACCCTATATCAGGTGTGCATAATTATTAGGCAACTTCCTTTCCTTTGGCAAAATGGGTCAAAAGAAGGACTTGACAGGCTCAGAAAAGTCAAAAATAGTGAGATATCTTGCAGAGGGATGCAGCACTCTTAAAATTGCAAAGCTTCTGAAGCGTGATCATCGAACAATCAAGCGTTTCATTCAAAATAGTCAACAGGGTCGCAAGAAGCGTGTGGAAAAACCAAGGCGCAAAATAACTGCCCATGAACTGAGAAAAGTCAAGCGTGCAGCTGCCACGATGCCACTTGCCACCAGTTTGGCCATATTTCAGAGCTGCAACATCACTGGAGTGCCCAAAAGCACAAGGTGTGCAATACTCAGAGACATGGCCAAGGTAAGAAAGGCTGAAAGACGACCACCACTGAACAAGACACACAAGCTGAAAGCGTCAAGACTGGGCCAAGAAATATCTCAAGACTGATTTTTCTAAGGTTTTATGGACTGATGAAATGAGAGTGAGTCTTGATGGGCCAGATGGATGGGCCCGTGGCTGGATTGGTAAAGGGCAGAGAGCTCCAGTGCGACTCAGACGCCAGCAAGGTGGAGGTGGAGTACTAGTTTGGGCTGGTATCATCAAAGATGAGCTTGTGGGGCCTTTTCGGGTTGAGGATGGAGTCAAGCTCAACTCCCAGTCCTACTGCCAGTTCCTGAAAGACACCTTCTTCAAGCAGTGGTACAGGAAAAAGTCTGCATCCTTCAAGAAAAACATGATTTTCATGCAGGACAATGCTCCATCACACGCGTCCAAGTACTCCACAGCGTGGCTGGCAAGAAAGGGTATAAAAGAAGGAAATCTAATGACATGGCCTCCTTGTTCACCTGATCTGAACCCTATTGAGAACCTGTGGTCCATCATCAAATGTGAGATTTACAAGGAGGGAAAACAGTACACCTCTCTGAACAGTGTCTGGGAGGCTGTGGTTGCTGCTGCACGCAATGTTGATGGTGAACAGATCAAAACACTGACAGAATCCATGGATGGCAGGCTTTTGAGTGTCCTTGCAAAGAAAGGTGGCTATATTGGTCACTGATTTGTTTTTGTTTTGTTTTTGAATGTCAGAAATGTATATTTGTGAATGTTGAGATGTTATATTGGTTTCACTGGTAATAATAAATAATTGAAATGGGTATATATTTGTTTTTTGTTAAGTTGCCTAATAATTATGCACAGTAATAGTCACCTGCACACACAGATATCCCCTAACATAGCTATAACTAAAAACAAACTAAAAACTACTTCCAAAAATATTCAGCTTTGATATTAATGAGTTTTTTGGGTTCATTGAGAACATGGTTGTTGTTCAATAATAAAATTAATCCTCAAAAATACAACTTGCCTAATAATTCTGCACTCCCTGTATATATACATATATACATATATATTTATGTAATATTTTTACATAATTAGGTATTTTAATTAATTACAATTAGCGGGACATGCCTGACAACCCATGCCGAAAGTATAGGGAATTTAATTTGCTAGCACTATATTTAACCCTATAACTTTCCAAGACACCATAAAACCTGTACATGGGGGGGGGACTGTTTTACTCGGGAGACTTCGCTGAACACAAATATTAGTGTTTCAAAACAGTAAAATGTATTACAATGATGATATCGCCAGTAAAAGTGAAGTTTTTTTGCATTTTTCACACACAAACAGCACTTACACGGACTATATTATTGCTGTAATACTTTTTACTGTTTTGAAACACAAATATTTGTGTTCAGCGAAGTCTCCCGAGTACAACAGTGCCTCTCGTGTACAGGTTTTATGGTGTTTTCAGAAGTTACAGCATCAAATATAAGGCTTGTGTTTCATTTTTTTCACATTAAAATTCGCCAGATTGGTTACGTTGCCTTTGAGACCCTATGGTAGCCCAAGAATGAAAATTACCCCTATGATGGCATACCATTTGCAATAGTAGACAATCCAAGGTATTGCAGGAATTAAATTTACACCCATAATGGCATACCATTTGCAATAGTAGACAACCCAAGGTATTGCAAATGGGGTATGTCCAGTCTTTTTAGTAGCCACTTAGTCACAAACACTGGCCAAAATTGGCATTTTTCACACACAAACAAATATTAACGCTAACTTTGGCCAGTGTTTGTGACCAAATGGCTACTAAAAAAGACTGGACATACCACATTTGCAATACCTTGGGTTGTCTTCTATTGCAAATGGTATGCCATTATGGGTGTAAATTTCATTCCTGGGCTACTATACAGTGTCAAAGGCAACATAACCAATCTGGCAAATTTCAGTTTCAAATGTAACGTGTTATATTTGCCCTTGTAACTTCCCAAAACACCATAAAACCTGTACATAGGGGGTACTGTTTTAAATGTGAGACTTTGCTGAATACAAATATGTGTATTTTATTGCAGTAAAAGCAAACAGTATTATGACACTGACAGAATCCCGCAAACAATAGCAATTCTCAGATTTACTAGAGCTAATTCCAAGGGGAATTCGGTTAGCTGGATGCATTTGGAAGGTCCTTGGTTTTAAATCAGTTATTTTCCCAACCTTATACAAAGTATAGGATTCAGAATATGTACAAAGCACACGTTTTAAACTTTGCAAACCAAATGCATTCAGCAGGATGCAAAATTCACAATTTTTGTGCAAGTGAACTATAATTTGAACTACTATAGTTATATTTAAAAAAAAAACTTTTGGCCTTTTGGGGGATGAGGGAATAAAAGTCTCAAGAAGAAAAAAGACATTTTAAGGACAGTGTGTAATTTGCTTGTTAACAATGTCTGAATTTTGCAGTTTAAATGGCCCCATACTGCAACAACTAAGTTTGCCCATTAGGTATGGAGCCATTTGGATGTAAGTGAACAACCCTGTAAATGTCACACTCATAAACAGAAAGTTCTATATGCTATGCCGAACTGGATAAAAGGCAGCAGCTGCAAATAGCAGTTTTTCGCCCATGAATGTAAAAAACTATTTGAATATTAGTCTTCTTGTTTCTGATATTCTCTCCAGATGCCCTCAATAGCAATATTTTCGTAATACATTATTATTGCTATTTATATAGCGCCAACATATTCCAGTTACAATATTATGAGAGGGGGGATTTAACTATAAATAGGACAATTACAAGAAAACAGGAACGATAGGTTAAAGAGGACCCTGCTCAAATGAGCTTACAGTTTATAGGAGGTGGGGTATAAGACACATTAGGACAGGAAATAGCAATCAAATAAGGTGGAAGTGAAACAGCACTGGAGGAGAGAGCAAGACACAGGTATGTGAGGTAGAGGTTACTCTGGGAAGCCTTAAGCTTTCGTAAAGAGATGGGTTTTAAGGAACTTCTTAAATGATTGAAGACTAGCGGAGAGTCTGATGGCGGGAAGCAGGCTATTCCATAGAGGGGAGCCGTCTGCGAGAAGTCCTGCAAGCATGAGATGGCCGTAAGGGTGCGAGCAGCGGACAGGAGAAGGTCATGGGCAGAGCGGAATGACCGAGAAGGGGCATACCTATGCATCTGTGAAGAGATATAAGAGGAGCTAGAATTGTTCAGTGCTTTATAGGTATGGGTTAGCACTTTGAATTGACTCAATAGGATACAGGAAGCCAATGTAAGGACTGACAGAGGGGTGAGGTGTGAGAGGACCAATTGTATCGGAAAATCTGTCTGGCGGCAGCATTCATTATAGACAATTAGGAGAGGGTTACAATAATCCATGCGGGAAATTAGAGCATGGACAAGCTCCTTGGTAGCATCTTGCGAAAGAAAAGGGCGGATGCGGGCTATGTTTTAAGATGGAATCTACAGGATTTGGCAACATACTGGATCTGAGACTCAAAGGTGAGGCCAGAATCAAGTATGACACCAAGACAGCGTGCTTGCAAGGATGGACTGATGTGGATACCACTAACTTGAAGGGAGAGCGAAAGAGGAGGATAAGTATTAGGAGGAGGAAAGACAAGGAGCTCAGTTTTAGAGAGAGTGAGTTTAAGAAAGCGGGAGGACATCCAGTCAGAGATGGAAGAAAGGCAAGCAGTGACACGTTGCAGGACAGAAGGGGAGAGATCCAGGGAGGAGAGATATATCTGGGTGTCATCAGCGTACAGGTGCTACTGAAATCCAAATGAGGTAATAAGTTTGCCAAGAGAGGCAGTATAAAGAGAAAATAGAAGGGGACCAAGTACAGAGCCATGGGGGACTCAAACCAATACAGGACGAGGGGAGGAGGTATAATTAGAAAAGGAGACACTGAATGAACGTTAGGAGAGATAAGAGGAAAATCACGAGAGGACAGAGTTACAGAAACCGAGTGAATAGTTTGAAGACGGAGAGCAAAGGCAGCAGAGAGGTCAAGAAGAATTTGTATGGAGTAGTGGCCTTTGGATTTAGCTGCGATTAGGTCGTTAGTAACTTTGATAAGAGCAGTCTCAGTAGAGTGGAGAGGACGGAAGCCAGATTGAAGAGGGTCAAGGAGAGCGTTGGAATTGAGGAAGTGAGACATACGGGTAAAGACAAGTCTTTCCAGAAGATTTGAGGAAAAAAGGGAGCAGGGACGATAGTTACGTGTGGAAGGACGGGTTAAGAGATGTTTTTTTCAGGATAGGTACTACAGGTGAGCAGGGACAATGCCAGAAGAGAGAGAGAGCAGTTGGAGATGTATGTTAAGGAAGGCACAAGACAAGGAGAGATGGGACAGGATCGAGCGGGCAAGTGGTGGGGCGAGAGGAAATGAGAAGCGCAGCCACCTCTTGTTCAGTAGCCAGGGAGAAAGTCTGAAGGGTAGGAAAGGCATGATCAACATGTGGTTGAGAAAGACAACGGCAAGGTGGGGAGAATTCTTTCCTTAGCTGTTCAACCTTGTCGGTAAAGTAGTCTCAGGATTATAGTTGATCCAGCACGTAGAATAGTATGACACCAAGGACTAAGGACATCTAACCGGACCTAGGGATGGCCGGACTTAACGTAACTGAGAATAGTCAAAATACTTGTCAAGGTCAGGAACATAGAATGAGACACAATGATGAGGAAAGCCAGAAGTCAAGTATACCAGAATTCAGGCAAGTCAAAATTAAGCCAAAGTCAAATACCAGAAAAAGGCAATCAGGATAACCAGCTAGTGGAAACCACAACAGGGCACTGACAAAAAGGTAATTTGGGTTTAAATAACCCTCCTTAGGCTGTAATTGGCTGTCTCTGACCCCAAAATGTGCGTGCGTGTCTATGACGTGACGTCGCACGCACGTTGGCACCATCTTTGATGTGGGCGAAGGTAAATTTCCTATAAAAATCCGAACCGCAACAGCTGGTGCTCCTAAGAAAGTCGCCCCCGCTGGGGATCGTAATGGAGGGAGACCAGGCAGCTGTCCGACGGGACCAAGGTAGGTCAGAAATCTCTCTGTCGGCATGGCTGTTTAGTTTTTGTGCAGCCATGCCGGCAGAGGAGCTGGGAGCCATGACAGTACCCCCCCACGTGAAGAGCACCCACCGAGTGGGCAGGACCAGGCATAAGGGGAAACCTGGCATGGAAGGAACTGATTTTGCAGCCCGCACGTACGCTTGAAGCAGAAACCCAAGAACGATCGGCAGGCCCATAACCCTTACAATCAACCAAATACTGCAAAGAGAGAAAACCTGGAGTCAATAATAGAGAAGACTTCGTACTCCTCCTGTCCAGAAACAACCAAAGAGGGGAAGGGGTGGTATATCGGTTACAAAAAAGAGGCTTAAGGAGGGATACATGAAACGTATAAGAAATACGCAGAGAAGTGGGGAGAACCAGAGAAGACGACACATAATTAATACTGTGAATTATTTTAACGAGGGCAATAAACCTGAGTGCAAGCTTCATGCTAGGAACCTTGAGTTTACTATTCCGTGTGGAGACCAATATCCTGTCACCCACCTGGTAGCCAGGGTTGGCACCACACTTCCTATCAGCTTGCATTTTTGAAACGAGCAGCAGCTGTTTCTAAAGACGTGTGGACCTTAGTCCAAGTCTCACGTACACATGTAAGATGGTCATCCACAGCGGGAATAGAAGTGTCAGAGAATACCGCAGGGAGGACAGTGGGATGATGACCGTTGTTAACAAAAAATGTCCAGATGAGTCATGGGTTGCATTATTTCTGTCGAATTCGGCCCATGGTAGCAAATCAGATCAGTTTTCCTGAGTGCCATTAATAAAACATCTCAAATATGGTTCCAATGATTGGTTGGCTCTCTCAGCCGCACAATTGGTTTGAGGAATTTGAGTTTAAATAACCTTCCTTAGGCTGTAATTGGCTGTCTCTGACCACTGATCTCAAAATGTGTGTGCGTGTCTATGACCGGACGTTGCATGCACGTTGTCGCCATCTTTGATGTGGGCAAAGGTAAGTTTCCTATAAAAATCCGAACCACAGAGGCCGGCGTTCCTAAGAACATTGCACCTGCTGGGGACCGGAATGGAGGGAGACCGGGAAGCTGCCCGCCGGGACCAAGGTAAGTTGGAAATATCTGTTGGCGTGGCTGCTTAGTTTTTGTGCAGCCATGCCGGCAGAGGAGCCAGGAGCCGTGACAAGCAGCATGCAAAGCTATCGGCTGTAAGGTTAGTTTAGGGGGTTGCCACAGCAGGGCGAAGAAGAGAATTAAAGGTGTCAAAGACATCTGGGATTGCGGGAGCATGAACTAATGAGAGGGGAAATGCTAGGCTGTTTGGCGAGGGCTGCATGAACACAATATGAATATATAATGGAGATAGTCTGCCTGGGCCCAGGAGCGGTTAGCATAACGGGAGCATCTTTGCAGGTAGCGTGTTGATTTAGTATGCCACGGTTGAGGGCGTGTCCTCCTCGAGGTGCATGTTTGGAGCAGGGCAGTGTTCAAGGCAGAGGTGAGGGTAGTGTTATTTGTGGAGATGGCCAGTGAGGGACAGGAGAGGGAAGTGATGGATAGCAGTTTTGAATCAATATCAGCTGACAGCTGCTGGAGGTCAATAGAATTAAGGTTCCACCTGAGTTGTTATTTATCAGATAGCCCAAGCTAGGTATGCCACCCATTCATTGTTATCCTTTGGAAAGACTGATTCTCATTTCTAGGATGCTTGACTTCACATTATTATGGTTGATTGGTGGCATCTGAGGTCTTTGCTGGGTGTGATATGTTTATGTGTTTTGGTCTTTACAGCAGCACCACTGCTTGGAAATGCATGTTCTGGATGTGTCTCTAATTCCCATTTTTGCTTTGCTAGGTTAAACATTATTTGCTAGGCTAAACATTATTTTTAACCAATTACGCATTTGTACTTAACTCTCGTGTAGTTCAAGGTGTTTAAGTTACCCTTTCATCTCCAATGTTTGGCAATGAATTAATTGGCAATAAACTACAACTAGATATGAATAAATGTCATTAATACAAATTAAAGCATTTAGTTATTTTTTAGGAGTCTGTAAAGAAGATGCTTAAATCAAGTAAAATGTATTGTTGTCCCTTGTTTAGGATAGATGCTTCTTCAAGAGCATTACATACTGCAGTAAAATCTTTGTTAAAATGACTTTGTAATATACAGTATCTCACAAAAGTGAGTACACCAATCACATCTTTGTAAATATTTTATATTATCTTTTTCATGTGACAACACTGAAGAAATGATACTCTTCTACAATGTAAAGTAGTAAGTGTACAGCCTGTATAACAGTGTACATTTGGTGTCCACTCAAAATAACTTAACACACAGCCATTAATGTCTAAACCGTTGGCAACAAAAGTGAGTACACGCCTATGTGAAAATGTCCGAATTGGGCCCAATTAGCCATTTTCTCTCCCCGGTGTCATGTGACTCGTTAGTGTTACAAGGTCTCAGGTGTGAATGGGGCGCAGGTGTGTTAAATTTGGTGTTATCACTCTCATACTAGTCACTGGAAGTTCAACATGGCACCTCATGGCAAAGAACTCTCTGAGGATCTGAAAAAAAAGAATTGTTGCTCTACATAAAGATAGCCTAGGCCAGGGGTAGGCAACCTTTTAGCAGCACTGTGCCGATATAGGATTGTGATGTCCCGTAGCGTGCCGGTCCTATTTTTTTTTTAAATTGAGGTGTGTATGCTGCCGTATTCTGGGGGCTGCTTGTGGAATTGTGTGTGTGGATGGATATGTCACATTGTGTGTTTGATAGTGTGTGTATGTGTGGGGCTGTTTGGGGTATTGCATGTGCAAGACTGCATGTGGGGTTGTATGTGGATTGTTAGCGGGTTACATTTGTGCGGATTGTATATATGTTTGTTTGTGGGCGGTTAGTATTATTTGTATGAGGAGAGGGTTATTTTGCATTTCTGTGTAAATCTAGCAGTGTGGGTGGCTTCCCTGGGTTCCAGTGGGGACCAAGCTGGCCAGGTACAGGTCAAGGACAGGAGCTGCAACAGCAGCTGCAGGCTGCTCTACTACATTGTGGATTCCCTTTCACAAGTGTTGGGAGGAAGTGATCTGCAATGCATAAATTGAGAATTGTCCTTCAACACCTTTTTGTATTAGAAGATATCAAAAGTTTCACTGGGACTCCTGATAGGCCAGAGCCTGTTTGGCTGTAGCAGCCTTGAGTGCCGTGCAAAGGCACCTTGAGTGCCGTGCATGGCACTAGTGCCATAGGTTGCCTTCCCCTGGCCTAGGCTATAGGAAGATTGCCAAGACCCTAAAACTGAGCTGCAACACAGTGGGCAAGACCATACAGCGGTTTCGCAGGACAGGTTCCACTCAGAACAGGCCTCGCCATGGTCGACCAAAGAAGTTGAGTGCACATGCTCAGTGTCATATCACAAGGTTGTCTTTGGGAAATAGAAGTATGAGTGCTGCCAGCATTGCTGCAGAGGTTGAAGGGGTGGGGGCTCAGCCTGTCAGTGCTCAGACCATATGCCGCACATTGCATCAAATTGGTCTGCATGGCTGTCGCCCCAGAAGGAAGCCTCTTCTAAAGATGATGCACAAGAAAGCCAGCAAACAGTTTGCTGAAGACAAGCAGACTAAGGACATGGATTACTGGAACCGTGTCATGTGGTCCGATAAAACCAAGATAAACTTATTTGGTGGTGTCAAGCGTGTGTGGCGGCAACCAGGTGAGCAGTACAAAGACAGGTGTGTCTTGCCTAGAATCAAGCATGGTGGAAGGCCCTCTTTAACGCAGGGCAAACGGGGCAGCTGCCCCGGGCCCTGTCCCTGCTGGGGGGCCCATGACAGCTGCTCCTTTTGCCCTCTGCCCGCAAACTATGGGGGCCCATCGGGTGGCCCATGCACTTAGGGCCACCCGGTGGGCCTGTGTCAGCAGGGGCCCGGTCGGGCGATGTAACAGCGCGACCGGGCCCTTGCTTTTTGGCAGCACTGGGAGGAAGTGACAGCCGCGCGTCACTTCCTCCCACAGAAACAAGAGCCGCGCGGGAGGAAGGAGCTGTTCCGGAGGGGGCCAGGCCGGGAGAGCTTAACTCCCAGCCACCCCACTGGACCCCAGGGAAGCCACCCTCCAGGAAAAGGTAAGAAACTGGAGGGTGGTTATCAAATTTTGCATGAGTGTCTGTGTGTATATGTGCCAGTATGTCTGTCAGTGTGTGTGTGAGTCGGTCAGTGTCTGTGTGGTTCAGTATGTATGTGTGTTTCAGTATGGCTGTCTGTGTCAAAATGTCTGTATGTGTGTACGTCTGTAAGTGTCTGTGTGTTTCAGTATGTCTGTCTGTGTGTATGTGTACCATAATGTCTGTATGTCTGTCAGTGTGTCAGTATGTCTATGTGTGAGTCTGTCAGTGTCCATGTGGTTCTGTATGTCTGTGTGTATGTGTGCTTCAGTATGGCTGTGTGTGTCTCTGTGTCAGTACGTCTGTCAGAATGTGCCTTTGTATCTGTATGTTGTCCATTTGTGTTTGTATCTATATATAGTCAGTGTGTATCTGTATGTGTCCGTGTTTGTATATGTATATCTGCATGTGTGTCAGGTTGTGTATCTGTGTGTCTGTATGTGTGTCAGTATGTGTGTCGGTGTATCTATATGTAGTCAGTGTGTGTACCTTTGTATCTGCATGTATCAGTGTTTGTATCTGTGTATCTGCATGTTTGTCAGGTTGTGTATCTGTGTTTGTGTCTAACTGTGTGTCAGTGTTCTATATGTAGCCTGTGTGTATCTATATGCGGTCAGTGTGTATCTGCATGTGTGTCAGGTTTTGTATTTGTGTGTATCTATATGTAGTCAGGGGGCCCAAGTTAATGCTTGCCCAGGGTCCAATCAGAATTAAAGACGACCCTGCATGGTGGTGGGAGTGTCATGGTCTGGGCCTGCCGGCACTGGGGAGCTACAGTTCATTGAGTTAACCATGAATGCCAACATGTACTGTGACATACTGAAGCAGAGCATGATCCCCTCCCTTTTGGAGACTGGGCCGCAGGGCAGTATTTCAACATGATGACCCCAAACACACCTCCAAGATGACCACTGCCTTGCTAAAGAAGCTGAAGGTAAAGGTGATGGACTGGCCAAACGGAAGGTGGGGGAGCACAAGGTCTTTAGCATTCACCAGCTCTGTGATGTCTTCATGGAGGAGTGGAAGAGGACTCCAGTGGCAACCTGTGAAGCTCTGGTGAACTCCAAGCCAATGAGGGTTAAGGCAGTGCTGGAAAATAATGGTGGCCACACAAAATATTGACACTTTGGGCCTAATTTGGACATTTCCACTTAGATGTGTACTTACTTTTGTTGCCAACGGTTTAGACATTAATGGTTGTTTGTTGAGTTATTTTGAGGGGACAGCAAATTTACACTGTTATACAGGCTGTACACTTACTACATTACATTGTAGCAGAGTGTCATTTCTTCAGTGTTGTCACATGAAAAAAATATAATAAAATATTTACAAAAATGTGATTGGTGTACTTACTTTTGTGATATACTGTATACCCTATGTCTGTACTGAGCTGGAGGCATGACCAGTACTACCATTAGGCAAATTGAGCATTTGGAGAGTGAACAACAGTCCAGATGCAGGTCTGGTAGGGAGATTGAGGGAGCGTGAAGATGGAGGGAGCATGCAGTCAGCTACTCCAGGGGGTGCAGACCATAGTTAAGGTTCCTTTGCAGTCAAACTCCTTTTGTGTGACACGGAGTATTACTGCTAGAATACCCAAAAAGTGCAGAGACATTAATACTTTCACTAGGACTGTAACACCCCACAACTCCCCGCCCACTCTATACATTTTGGGTGTTCTGGAACATAATGTTTAAACGTATTTTTCATTATGGTATGCATAGATAACACATTACTTAATTAAAACAAATGCTTTGGTTGCACAAGAAAAAATAAGAAAACTATTTAAAAATAATGAAGTTGCAAATAAGAAAATATTTATGAACACCCAACATTGCCATATTCCTCACATATTTTAAAATACTCTCAAATATACATCACCCCAAATGTACCCATATCGTATATATTATAAATATATATATTGCCCTATGTATAGTTTATACATTGGGCATATTGCAGACATGTTGCCTCTCTGGACGCAAACAATGATATGCCTCCACAAATACACAATGATATTTGCAGTGTTTATCGGTATCTGTGTGCATGTCAGGCATCCTGCATCTGCCTGAGAGTGTCTGGAAGTGCATATTCTATGTCTATATGTGTAACAAGGAGTATATATGTAATGTATTCCTATGTATGTATCTGCTTACCTTTTAGATAGGGAGGTGGGCAAAGTATACTTACACAGTTTCTTCTTGGTGACATGGTAAGACTGTGCTGTAGGTCTGCATCCAGACTGCCAAGAAGAAACTGTGCAGCAGCACCACCAGAGTATAGTGAATGCAGTTGTGACTAGGCACAAGTTCAGTAAGGGCCACAGAGGCAGACTTGCATCCATAGTAAGGGTACCAATTAAAGAAAAAAAAAATTACAAAAATTGTGTATACACAAATCTAAAGTATGGGAACCTGAGAATCATGTATACACTATTTGTGTAGTTAAGGGGTCGTGGTGCTCACACTGGACCACCACAGATAATTAGCCCCATTACAGGGGCGACGGAATGGGGGTGACCTGGGCTAGAGTCATGAGTGGGCTCTCGAAAAGCCCAGGGTCTCCAACATGGCAGTTTGAGTTATTATCCCGAGTGTCAAGTAATGAGGTTGGCCAGGGAACCTAAGCACACTGAAATGACTTGCCGGAAATTCAGTGGTTAGCTTACTTATACTTTTTGGCAGTACTGTGGGCTGGTTCAGCTGTCTGCCAGGTCAGAGTGTCAAAACCCCTTCATATCAGGATGTCTGCATGTTGAAGCTGGCCATCACCAGCAAAAAAACAATACATCCCCTACACACAGCATCCCATATACACACAATGCTGTGTATAACACTCACACTACAAAAACACAGACCTATTATCAATAAGCCTACAAATTCAAAACAGAAAAAGCAAAAATATAGATGTTGGCTAATATTACCAATTAAATGTGTGGGAAGGCTGAAAACAGCCCCCCTATAAAACACATATGACCACAGCATGCACACACACGCAGCCTTCAACCTCTCCACAGTTAACAGTGAATACCACAAATTACAACTGTTCCCCAATATACTTATACATGATTGACAGTGAAAAACGTTAGTTAGAATAAAAACTATATATGAAGAGGAGAAAGAGAGACTAGTTGAGAAACAGTGGATACGCAGTGAGATAGAAAGCTACCATAATGGCTGTATTCTGCCTTCATTGACTATTTTCATCTAAGCAAGAACTACAATTGTCTCTGATAGGGTATAATCATTGCAAATACAGCACATTATCTTGCATGTTGCTGTAAATGCATGTAAATGCAAGGATCACTGTAGGAGGTTTCTACTTGTTTTGATTCATCCTTAGGAACAAGAATTTAATCACAGAATCCCTCAAGTACTTCAACAAAATAGTGATGCAAAGAACTGTAGTAAAAATAATGCAACACTTGCATCAAGGGGCAAAAGCATGTCAACACAAAGCAAGACCTCTAAAATGTTTTTGTTTTAACATGCCAGCATTAAATAGGGCAAATTTAAATCTTTCCAAGATCCATTTGCTCTGAAGGATACCCGCAATCTGAATGTTTTATAACCTGTGTGTATATTTTTTTTTGTATCAATTAGCCTTTATTGAAAGTACATGGTAATACAGAGACATAAAGAACAGTGCAAATCATCAACCAAGTAGCAAAAGGTGTTACGCAGAACTTAAGGTGTTTAAGTACCCGTAATAGTGACTTATGGTTAACAAGGCTAGACTGGCATTATACAAACAGTAAATATAGTTAACAGAAACAGTGATTCAGAAACAAGGACCATCAAATAGAATACCATTCAGCTGCATAACACCATTAGTGGCAGGAGGAAGTTAGCCAAAGTAAGTGGACATAAACCTGTGTGTATATAAAATGGTGAAAATACAGTGAGAAAAAAGTGTGTGGTAGTTAAAAATAACTACTGACCACCTAAGTGGAAACCCCTTCTACCACTTAAATAGAAATACAAATAATACATACAATAGGTGGAACACACATCTGTAGAATCTAAAAAACAGGATAGAACATCATAGTGTAATATGTCAAAAATGAACAGTAATAGATGGAATTAGAGCAGTATTACTCACAAGCCTGGAGCCAATATTAACATATGGCTCTTATGTGCAGCGCAGTGGGACTTTTACATGGATGTCCCCATCCCTCTTGGTATTCCTCCTTTGGTGATATGGTGATGGTAGAAGATCACACTATTCCAATCTGTATCCAATGAGGGAACTTTATTATGAAAAACAATCAATATATTAAAAAATTATAAGGAAATCAATATTCCCAGTAAAAATAAAAATATAGACAATATGTCCAATTAAAAGTCCAATATGCAGACTGTAGTAGTCCAAAACGCGTTTCGCCCTATGGTGGGGGCTTCCTCAGTTGGCATTAGTCTGTATACCGAGTGGCTGGTTCTTGGCGTCCTTATAAAGCACTTTTCTTCTTCACTTCCGGGTTTTATGTGTTTGGAACGCATCGTGCGTTCCACCGCCGGTTTCCTGTATAATACTTCCGGTTTGGTGTTGTATCGGCATCTTCCTATGTGTCACTTCCGGTTTCGGTCTGTGGAACGCTTCTATGATGTCACTGGAACGCATAGAGTCGGATCCATGCGTTCCACTGCAGATAACTTTGCATACCATTGTGTATTAATCATATAGCGTCTCTAGGTGGTTTCTCAATATATGTTACCTCTAATCCATTACATATACACAGGAAAACATAAATCAGAAAACAAAATTATAATAATTTCTGAATAATAAGAATAATTTTGTTTTCTGATTTATGTTTTTCTGTGTATATGTAATGGATTAGAGGTAACATATATTGAGAAACCACCTAGGGACGCTATATGATTAATACACAATGGTATGCAAAGTTATCTGCAGTGGAACGCATGGATCCGACTCTATGCGTTCCAGTGACATCATAGAAGCGTTCCACAGACCGAAACCGGAAGTGACACATAGGAAGATGCCGATACAACACCAAACCGGAAGTATTATACAGGAAACCGGCGGTGGAACGCACGATGCGTTCCAAACACATAAAACCCGAAAGTGAAGAAGAAAAGTGCTTTATAAGGACGCCAAGAACCAGCCACTCGGTATACAGACTAATGCCAACTGAGGAAGCCCCCACCATAGGGCGAAACGCGTTTTGGACTACTACAGTCTGCATATTGGACTTTTAATTGGACATATTGTCTATATTTTTATTTTTACTGGGAATATTGATTTCCTTATAATTTTTTATATATTGATTGTTTTTCATAATAAAGTTCCCTCATTGGATACAGATTGGAATAGTGTGATCTTCTACCATCACCATATCACCAAAGGAGGAATACCAAGAGGGATGGGGACATCCATGTAAAAGTCCCACTGCGCTGCACATAAGAGCCATATGTTAATATTGGCTCCAGGCTTGTGAGTAATACTGCTCTAATTCCATCTATTACTGTTCATTTTTGACATATTACACTATGATGTTCTATCCTGTTTTTTAGATTCTACAGATGTGTGTTCCACCTATTGTATGTATTATTTATAAACCTGTGTGTAGTTTGACTTATATAGCTCACTGCAAACTTACCTTAATCTAATAGCATTACCACTGTTTTCAGTATATCATTGTGAAGAATAGTGTGACTGAGTTTTTCTCACAGTATTAGACTCCTCGACTCGAACAATTTGAAATACATTTTAGAATTTATAAAGCATGACATTGGATGTTTTACACCTTTAAAATCATAACCTCACACCAATAAGGGAAGCATAAAATATATGTATATTAATGCATGTTTTTAAATATCACTTCTATTATAAATGCAATATTTTGATATGGTGATTTCCACATCTTATTCTCTGGTGTAACGAATAAAATTAAGAGTCAGCGCTAATTAACAGACAGGCAGCAACCTTTAAAAAGGGAGTCCCTCCAAACCTTTTTGAAAACATGTTCAGAAACAATTGTAAAAGTAATGTGCAGAGAAATTCAATCTTGATGTCCTCAATGCTGTCTTGGGGTACTGTGCAGGGGCAAAGTCTTTCAATGGTGTAATAATCCACTTATATGTAAAAAAAAAAAGAAGAAGAAAGGACGCCCAATAGTGCAATATGTATAGGTCAAATAAAATCACTGAATTCAAATAATAGTAGGGAACTCACATTTGACAGAGCTATATCCAGCTCTGGTGTGAAGCGCATACAGCGGTATAATCCCCGCTTATGGGATATATGGTGGGTTCCCTCCGTTAGTGGTGTATCCAATGTTCAAATGAAAGAGAAAAGAGACAACTAATAGTGCTCTCTGTATTAAAAATATCTGTGATAGGTAATTAAAAATATACTCACAAAGGAAGAGCAGACTGACTGCTCTTTGTTGTCAGCGTGGGTGGTATAATCCCCACCTAGGATTTCTTGGAGTAATATGAATAATATGAATGCAGGATAATACCAAGCAGAATAGTAGAATAAAATGGAGTAAAATAAAAATAAAATACAATTAAAATTGCCAGGTGAAAAAATAAAGTGCATATAAAAAAAGATAATTGGCACAACCAAATGACCAAATAACCTTTAATTAATAAAATACACAATATAAAATTTCCATAACGCTTTTCGTCAACAGACTTTTTCAAATGGAATAAAGCACAATACCTGGCAACTGCAGGTATTGTGCTTTATTCCATTTGAAAAAGTATGTTGATGAAACGCGTTATGGAAATTTTATATTGTGTATTTTATTAAAGGTTATTTGGTCATTTGGTTGTGCCAATTATCTTTTTTTATATACACTTTATTTTTTCACCTGGCAATTTTAATTGTATTTTATTTTACTCCATTTTATTCTACTATTCTGCTTGTTATTATCCTGCATTCATATTATCCTGTACTCCAAGAAATCCTAGGTGGGGATTATACCACCCACGCTGACAACAAAGAGCAGTAAGTCTGCTCTTCCTTTGTGAGTATATTTGTAATTACCTATCACGGATATTTTTAACCCCTTAAGGACACAACTTCTGGAATAAAAGGGAATCATGACGGAATATGTCCGTCATATGTCCTTAAGGGGTTAATACATTGGATACACCACTGACGGAGGGAACCCACCATATATCCCATAAGCGGGGATTATACCGCTGTATGCGATTCACACCAGAGCTGGATATAGCTCTGTCAAATGTGAGTTCCCTACTATTATTTGAATTCAGTGATTTTATTTGACCTATACATATTGCACTATTGGGCGTCCTTTCTTCTTTTTTTTACATATAAGTGGATCATTACACCACTGAAAGACTTTGCCCCTGCACAGTACCCCAAGACAGCATTGATGACATCAAGATTTACTTTCTCTGCACATTACTTTTACAATTGTTTCTGGACATTGCTTTATCTAGAAATCAATATTTATTTAGGCGCAGTCCCTGTTCGTATTTTTTATCACTCTCTTATTCTCTGGTAGTTTGCTTTAATTAAAGAAGCACTTTTCAGATATCCTTTGCAGTTTGGCCATAGAGGATTACTGCACAGTAGGATAGAGTATATGAACTACTATAATAATTTCTGGAAGATATTATCACATCTTTCTTTTGCCAGTTTGATCAGTGAAAATAATCTTTTGCTAATTACTTTTCAAAGAAATTCTACAATGGTTTAGCCATATTTTGTAATATCTAATTTTACAAGCAATACAAAAAGGCTGTGGTAAGTTTTCTGCATCCCACAACTATTTGATGCATACACATTTGTTTAACACAACTGCAAGTTGTATAAAAACAATTGTACAATATTATCAACAATGCATCAAACTTATTTTTTTTATAAAAAATACTGGCTTCACTGATTAGAAGTCATGCATACTATTTAAAATACATTTCAATTAACCCAATTTGGCACAAAACACTGTTGTTTCAAAATAAATATAAATCACTCTACAACGTAAAAATATTTACTATGCATTCAATTCCACCTCAAAAATTATTTGACATAGCAAAGTATTGAACAGTATCAAAAACACCCATCACAGTGCTTAACAAGATTTAATGTACATTTATTCTTAACATGTGGAACATATAGTATAAAGATTTTATACTGAATAAATGATATTCATTAAGCCAGAGGAAAAGGAGGAATTTACAACAAGTAGTTTTTTTTCTCCATTTTTTCCTACATTTTCTTGAAATACAAATAAGTTGAATCTCGTCAATGAAAAACCTCAGAAGTTGTGTTGCTTTATCCATAATATTGTAATAATAGTCCTTTGTATTATATAACCATTGTCTAATTCAGTTGGCAGGCAAACTATTATCACATTGTGACCAGAAAGCAAAGTGTTCAGCTGTTAACCTGAAATAGAGCATGAATTTATACATTCTGATACTTGCACATTACCCTCTTTTGGGTGGAGATATGGCCAATATAATATTTATCATCGGTGTCAAAAATAAAATAAAATAAAAAAACAAAATGAAAACTCATAAAACAGATCCGAAAAAAAAAAGATTACACCCTGTCATTGTAACCACACTGTGGGAAGAAATAAAAGCTAAATAGCAAACATAAAAAAATAAAATAAACAAATAAAAAGAAAAGGCCTGTACAACTTGTATATACAGCACATCCCCTAGGCAGAAGGAAAAAAACAACATATATTGAGACATATTAAGACTCATACAATGGAAGGTTAAACAAACATGTTATGTCATTATGATAAAAAAAAAAAAAAAAGATACTCCGTTTTAACTATTTTAAACAATCAAGTTTTCACTTTTTTTGTTTGCTTTTATTTTTTCCCTGGTCAGTCTGTATGCATCAATCTTCTATTCTAATTTAATGATTCTCTCTTGAGAAAAAGATATTCATGTAACCAAGGTCCCTCTTCTGTATACTTTTACGTAATTACTGCACATTCTATTGCACACGGGTTTTATATTTGTCACGAAAAAAAAAAAGATAATATCAGACAATTTGTTTATGTGTAGTGATAGTGTACAATGCTTACAAAGGATGTCAATCAGTCCCTAAGAAAAGAGCAATACAACCAAGTGGAACAGCAAAACGTAAAAGTGTTAAGAAACAAAATGACCTTTGAGGGAAAAAAAATCACCAACTTTGGTTAGGCAAAAAAAAAAACAAACAAACAAAAAAACAAACATAATATGAATATACACAAACAGCAAATATTTATTTTTATTACTCATTGACCGTTTCTTAGAATTTCCAATTGGTAAATAGTGACTGGATATGAGTAGACTTGTTCTCTGTTTTTTCTTTTAACAATTAATTATTTTCCTCTTCTTTCTAATGTGATAAAAGGAACAGAAAAATAGCCAGTTATAATTTGACTTCCTACTCTTGCTTCACAAATTCTGGCTCCCCACTGATGTCATAACTGCCCTATTTGAAAGAGTACATCACACATGACAGAGGAAACAATAGAGTTCAGGACAAGAGATGTGGAGATATCCAGTAGACGACCTTCGTGTAAAAGAAATTCAGAGCAGTTTTCCTCCACTCTGGCCATGGCCAGTAAAGCCTTAGCAGCCCTACACATCATATCAATACTAGGTGGTTCCAAATGGGGAGGTTGCATGTGCATGAGGTTATGCTGGCTCTGCTGGTACTGGGTCATAGTAACCCCATCTTCCAAGAAGCTTATTAAGTTCCCAATGCTTCCTTTCTGTACAGCTATGGCCCTTGCTGCTAAAGTGTCCCCCTGAGCAAGGTTCGAAAGCAGTGCCATAGACATTTCTCGACATACAGGATTTTTTCTGTCTCCAACATACCTAACTAGAGTGGCATATAGTTTTTCTTGGCGACTGAATGGTGGAGTAGCCAAGATTAAGTCCACATTGTTGTCTTGTATACTGAGTTTACACAATGTTTCCAGGACAAGTCTCTGAGGGGCAAGGACAGAATTTTGTCCCACTGTTGGGAACTTATCCTGTGCCTCTGCAGATGGGCATACCATCCAGTGCAGCAAACCATCTAAAATTGGCAAACAAATACTTTCTGTATAGGCAGACAAGTCTAATTGTCCAGAGATATTGGCTAATGTCACCAAAGTATTTTCCCTCAGTGCCTCAAGACAGTCCCACCACCATTCATCCTTGCTGCAGCTCACTCCCTTGTCTTCATCTTCCTCTTTTTCATAGGTCTGTGGTGTTCGTTTTCTCTCTGGATGCTCATGGTGAAGAAGAATCAATTTCCCAAGAATCAAAACCAATCCTGGGTGTTTTGACATCTCAGTATCATTACCGGGCACAAAAGACAAACTACGGATAATATTTGACACACAGATACATCGCTTTGCCAAAGAATCTTGCCACGGGGATATTGTACATAATGGGGTCTCATCTCTGCTCCTGGGTTCATCTTCCAGTAATGTTATATTCCTATGACTTTTAACTTGATGAATTCCTAATGAAAGTTTACTGCTCTCTTCCTGAAAGGATGGGCTATTTGAGTCTTCAGGCAATGCTCCTGGTCTAGCAGATAGGACATCATCAATTGTTGCAGTTATACTTTTGTCTGGTTGTTCTTCATTCTCTTCATGAATTTTATCCTCCAAGTCTTTTTTATTTCTGCTGGGAACATTAATAGTAGAGGGAGTCCTCCTGTGAAATGGAACATCCATTTTGCTTTCAAAGTGAGTTTGGATATGTTCTGTTGTATCACCTCCACCAAGTTTCCAGTGAAGAAGCCCACTCGTAAATTCTTGAACACATCCAAGCTTGCCAGATCGGTCAATAACATATAGATTATTTTTTTTCACAACCTTGATTGGCAACTTATCAAACTT